GGGTATCGGGTTAACTTCGGCTATGGTACAATTAGGTCGGGTCAGTTCGGGTGTCGGGTCAGCTTCATTTTTGGATCGGGTATGGGTCAGGTCGAGTCAATTTTGGGTTTTGGGTCAATTTTGGGTCTATGTTTTTGGGTCGATTTTGACTCGGGTCATTGGGTCTTGGTTACGATTGCCAGGTCTAGATTTATAGATGGATTAATTATTTAAAATTACTTTTTTGTATGCTTTCTTAGACTTGGTAAGATTTATTAATAAATAAGTCAAATATATTATAAACTCTTTATTTGTGTACATCCGATTTACAATAATAGTAGTGTACATCGAATGTGGCTCTCGAAACACTAAAAAAACAATAATAGGATAATGCACTTTTAAGTTATTTTGGGTAATGTTTAACCTGATTTGATTTTGAAGTAAATAGACAATGGGAAATTGAGTTTTATAAGGGTAATAAAGTTACTTTTACTCACTTATATTTTGATTTTAATAATTTAAAAATTGTATCCTTACAATAAAGCATATATAACTTTTATACTTATCAATATAGCATATATAACCCTCTTTGTTGCACAAAACATGTAAAAGAGGTAGTATATGTCAGGCTGACTCTGATTTATTTTGGGTAACTTTTTATCTATCATTTTAGGGTGACTTTTCAACCAATATATTTAATGTTGTACACATGATTTTTATTTTTTATTTTTAAAAAGTTTGTGACTATATTATGGGTTAATAGAGTATGTTTTATTATATTAATTAAAACAAAAGTGCACATAAAGAGTAATATATAAGATATGTGAATGTGCATGACTAGATATAAATAGGTAAAACATGACCAAGATATTTGTAAAGGTTGTAAACCTTTATCATATAGCTATTTCTAAACCATTTTATTCAACATTGAATTGAAAATATGATACGGATGGAGTACCGTGATAGATGATTAAATGGGTACACGTTATTGTGACTAAAATTAATATACACTAAAAGCTTTCGATATAACAAGTAATAACTTACAATTTGTGAGAGTTAATATTTGAATTATTTTAACCGTGCAATTGCGTGGGTACTATACTAATAATACCTATTTGTAGCCCATGTGGCGTGACACTTGGTGCAAAACTAGAATGCCAAGTGTCACTGTCTCGTGGCCTGGCTGCGAGACCGGCTTTATTTATTAGTGATATGATATGATATTAGATTTTGGTATTCGGCATGGGCCTCCCATATCAGGTAGTGGGCTGTAAATTTTCCAACTTTGTGCACCGTGTGTCTTTGTATACCTTCCACAACTATTAATAAAATAACAACCGCTGACATCACCTCAATCTCTAACACATGTCAAGTTGTGGTAGACTATTTTTCCTCTAAAAATATATGTGATGTCATTAATTTTTTAATTTTTTTTAATTTAATTGATAAATTAAGCTATTTCACTAATACTCCAAAAAAAAAAAAAAAAATAATGCATGTGCTATTTTTTTTTTCTTTGTTAGTTGAAAATTTAGTATTTATTAATATTTAAACTTAGTCTAATAATTTAACAATTGTGACAATATAACAACTATTATTAGTCACGAACGTACATCGAGACTAATCTAGTTAATAATAAAGGTAAGCTTCCCAAAAGCATAGATTTGCCCTCTTCTCTCTCTCAATTTCCATTGAAGCGCACTTCACGATCTCCATTGAAATTTCTATCTTCCATTGATGCAACTTGTTAGGTAAGATGCTGCTTTCTTTTTTGTAATTATCGGATATCAGCTACACAATCTACGACTGTTGTTATTTCAATTCTCAGCATATTCAATTTAGGGTTCTTGTTAACTAGATTATTGAACTATTGTTTATAATTACTAAACTCGATTTTGTTGCTCAAGAAGAAAATTCATCAACCCAATTTGATAATTGAATCAAATTTTCTGGATGGAATTATGTGATTGTACCTTTTCTCCATAAAATTATGAGCCTAATTTGATACTTATCAAGTTTGGTTGCTAATGTGTTGAAGAACCTTTAATGTTAGTTAGGATCGAACTTTGAAATTGGTTTTTTCTCCCTGGGCTCAGGGCGATTCCCCCTCCTTCTCTGGCTCAGAGACGGGCCTGATTTCCCAGGTTATAGCACTGTTTGTGTTTTTAATTTTTTTTATTTTTTTTTGGTAAGTAAGGCATATTATTACCAAAGAGAAACAAGGTTATAAATTACACAGAGCTAAGATGTAAGGCCCAAACTACACAAGACCTTAACGAAAGCCAAACCCCCAAACAATTCCGAGGCTAGAGATGCCAGCTTCTAGGAAGGGATCACCTTAGCATTGTTTGTGAGTTGAACCTTGTGAGTTTGGGGGATCATCCCTAAACAATTCTAAGGCTAGAGATGTCCATGACTTGAACCTTGTGAGTTTTTATGTTAGAGAAATGTTTGTTTTTAATCAAGCATTCTTGACTCATGGCTTAAACAACCATGCCATTCAAATAAAACCAACAACTATTACTCTTTTACTTTGAATGTGAGTCTTTCCGTGTGTAAACGGATCGTTTGCTGATTATGGAACACAATAACCATTATTTGTTCTAACCTTAACTTTAAAAGGTCTTTAAACAAAGCAAACGACCTTACAACTGATATAGCATCACTTGCTTCATTCCAAGCTTGTAAGTCAATAACTTAGCTTAACTTCATTTGTTTTGAGGTCACTTCGAAATTGGAACTCTCAAGCAGTATCTAATACTTGTGAAGATAAGTTGCTAAGTTTAACTACGATAACATGAACTCTTAGGTAGAATTGGAATCTCAAATTCCTTTTCTTTGTTCCTTGTTTTCTATATTTCTTGTCACACATCATCTCATAACTTTAAGAACCATTTCCTTAAGTGTTTTGACTATACTTTTTTAGGAATAATTAAGCATCTAATGCACCATAACACAAGGTTCCATCTTTTCCTTTAATTCGTACTCGAATTACTACATCAATGAGTCCTACTCATTAGTGTATGAAGCGAAAAGATATGTTGGTTGTTAACTATTGACAATTTGAGTTTTTCAACTCAATACTTCACGTTCATCAAAACTACCTAGTATTTTGAATACTACCTCCGTTTATTTTTATGTGCAACTTTTGCCATTTTAGTCCGTTCACTATTATGTGCAACTTTCCTTTTTCATTCTGTTTTTGGTAAATAAAAACCCTTGAATTTACTATATTACCCCCACTTAAAAAATTTAATCATCTTACTTTTACCCCTCATTATCCAAAACCCTAACTTAATTTAACACACCTAAATTAACCTAACCTAATTACTCCCTCCAATTTACCCCCCAACCGACACAACTCTACATCTTCCCAACCACCTTTTCTAAACTGATCTAGAGAATTCTATAGAACCCTAGATCAGTTTCTTTGTTTTCCTGTTCTTCGTGTTCTAGGGTTCCTGTTCTTCGTCTTCTTCGTTTCGTTCGCCCTTTTCCTGAAGAATTCAGAGTCCCACAATTATGTCTTCCCCCTTTCCCTCCCCTTTCGAGAGGCATCCAGACTTCACAATTCCGTTACATGACCTAGATCCACTTGTTGACGCCTATATTGGCACAGATTCACAGAGTGAGGCTCGGTTCATCAAGTCCCTCATTAACGACATCAACAGGGGCAATGATTTTCCTCGCCGCCTTTACAACTCTGAGGAAGGCCCTAGTTGCTGTTCTTCGACGACTTTCAAAGCTTTGGGGGAAGTCCTGAAAAATATCGACGAGGGGGAGAAGACGAACAAAGAGGAGGGTGAAGGCGAGTCCCATGCCAAAAAAAAAATTGATTTTCAGGTTAAAGATGTAGATCTGGAGTCCGATTTTGAGGTCAGTGTTGCGCCCTCCCCCACCCCCAAGCGCGGATCTAAGGTTTCCAGGCCTCCTCCGAAGCTTTGGCGAAAGAGGAAGGCTGCGGTGGTGGCGATGAGGCGTTTGCGCGGGTTGCCTGATTTGCCGGAGTCCGACCTCGTGGTGCTGTCCTCTGATGAGGAGGCTGAGCACTGACCTTTGCGTAACGATTCCTATTCCTAATTTTTTTAAATTTTTTAAAATTTAAAAGAGTCCTAATTTTTGTGCCGGTGGATCTATGGCTGAAACTAGGGTTTCACTGTTTATTGCGGGATTGTTTGACTGGTTGTGGTTTCATGATGGGGTGTTGGTTGTGTTGATCTACTCTGGCTGCTAAGGGTTTGCTGTTATGGGTAACTTTGACTCGTTGTTGTTTATTGTTGGGTTGTTGATTATGTTAAATGTTAGGGTTTATTTGTATGTTTGTGTTGATGTAGGCTGGATACTAGGGTTTGCTGTGTAATGTTGGGTTGTTGGTTATGTTACATCTGGGAGATTTATTGCTGGTTGCATGTGTGTGTTGATACATCTGGTTGCATGTTGTCTTTATTGCTGGCTGTGTGGACTTGATTGATGAATGATGAGGCTGGTGTCTTGTGCATGTTCATTGTTGCCTAGTCAGTCCCTTAAAAGGAGTCCCATGATGTTGCCTTCTGTTTCTTGTTTATTAAAGAGTCCCCTACTTTGATATGCTATTTAGCTTACCCATATCCACATGATGAAGGGACTCCAATGAATTTCAATATGCACAGGTGATTTGCTCCATCAACATGAAAGTTGTTGTTGTTGTTGAGGTACCCTTGTGCATATGTGTAGTATTCAACATTATAACCCTCTGATGGATTTAGTGCCCACATAAATTGTTTATCTTTGTCATTCATAATCAACTAAAAATGTGGGTACAAAATACTAGTACATAAAACTTTACAAAAGACCATATGTATGATAATCTAATGACTATACTTCAGACTGCCTGACTTGTTTGGGTAATTGTAATCAACAAAATACACCTAACCACTGGATTGCTCAAAATGTTTTTGGGAAAAAAAAAACCAATAAAACTTACTATGATAAGTGGTTATGTGTGGCAGTCCATGTGTTGTCTGGTTGTTGTAAAGACTCCCCTAATCTGCATCCACCTCCAAATCTTCTGTGTCTTCTTGAGTGCCTTGATTTGCTGGCCTAAACATGGTGTTTAGGTACTCCACAGCCTCCAATACATCCTCTTTCTGAACCTCTACCAAATCTGGAAGACTACCTAGGTTTTCCAGCTTTTTTTTGTTCATATGTGGTATTTTGTACTTGTTACCACCTTCTGCCTTGAGTATCTTAATCATACACTTTTGCAATGTAACCCAGATGTACTTGTTTACATGAGGGTTGAAAGTGTCATAAGACTGTTTGACCTTTTGAATTAGCTCCTCTAAGTCCCTAGGAAAAGACTGATATTGCAATGATTGTATAGACCTAAATAGCCCTAAGTCAAGGACATTCAAATCAGGAGACTGTGCTGGCTGGAAAACAAATTGAATGTTAAAGCCATTAGCTGTTGTTGCTGCCACAAACTCATCATCTGTAGGAACTTGGTGTGGCCTTGCATTGTCCCATTGGATGACCACATCCTTGGGCAGACCTTCAGGCCACTTTGATATGATTGCTGGAATAACCTTTGTTAGCAGCATCTCTCTGATTACTTCTCTGTTTATGTTCTGGAGTGCCTTGGTTTCCATGGTCCCTCTTGGTCTTTTCTTGCTTGCTTTCTGTGCTACTTGCTGGACAGTGAATGGAAAGATGCCATACTTTCCATCATGTAAAAGTTCCCCATTTATGCCATATAATGGCTTCCCTATGATTGCCATGAACATTGCCTTTAGTTTGAATCTTCTTGACTGAACTGCCATATAGGGATCCTCCTCACATGGCAGTAGGTAGAACCTCCTTTTGTCAGGGTTCAAGTAGAACCACTTTTCATCACAGTGTATGACATTCCTCATGTCAACAAATGTGGGGTCCTCATTCCCTGTAATTGGATTTATATGTGACAAAATCCATCTTAGTCTGGCAACCTTGTGGTCTGATGTGAGCAATGGTTTGTTGCAGCATGTGTGTGTTCTTAGCCTGCCTCTTTTCTTCAAATTGTGAACTGTAGTTAGACTGATCTTCAATGCTCCTGCATAGCTTCTTTCTGTCTGCCTTAAATGTAATGGGACTGACTGGAGAGTTTCATCAGAAATCTCCATTGGCTTTCTCCCTGTTTTGCCAAATTTTTTGGTCCTGACATCAATCAAGTCCCCTGTTGCCAGCTGTTTTTTTTATGTCTGAAAAGATTCTTGTGATTGTTGATTTGTGGACATTAAATTCAGATGCTAATTGCTTCATGTGACCCCTTGGTAAAGTCCCATTGCTCATTTTCAGCAAAATTGCATCAACAATCTTTCTTCTTTGCTGCAAAGTTAATTGTTTTCTGCATACAAGACCAGTCCCTTCATGACCTTGCTGTTGCATTTGTGTGTTGAGAACATTAGTTTCTGTCTGTGGCTGCTGTTGCTGTTCTTCTTGGTTGCCATCCTGCATTTCATCTTCTGAGTTGTACTCCCATATTCCTGCATCCTGCATTTCTTCTTCTTCCTCGAACCACAGCTCTGCTAGCTCTTCTTCATTGAGAATGTGTTCAATATCAAAAAAAACAGAGTCATCAATTTCTGCCATTCCTCTTTTCCAGCACAGGGAGGATGAAGTCAGGGCCCTGCTGAGTTGTGTGGGTTGAAGATGAAGACTACACCCACCTGTGCATGAAGGACAACAGAGCACCCCTGTTTTTTGTAAAGTTTTAAGGAGTAGTTAGTGTGTAATTATTCTAACCTAGGATTTGATAAGCTTTTGTGGATGAAACTGTGTTTTTGGTGGAATGTTTCACCCACCTTTAAACAATGTTGATTGTAATTAATGCCTGACAATGGAGGATGATTTATTCCCTCCTTAAATGCTTGAATGAATGGTGACATTAAATGGGGGCATGGCTGTATTTATAACCTCCTAAATTTTTTGGGAAAATTTGACTTTGGTATGAAATTTTTAAAAAAGGAGGGGGAAAGTAAAATTTCACCCCAAATTTTCGGTGGGTTTTGGGTGGGAAATTATGCTTTGGTTTTTTCTGCCAAACTTTCCCACCACAAACAAAAAGTGTGGTCCACACTTTCTCTCTCCTTGCTTTTTAATTAAACCCACTAACTTCTCCTAATATTTACTCTTCAATCTTTTGCCTCGTGAACCGTATTATCACTCAAAGTTGCACATAAAAATAAACGGAGGTAGTACATGAAATCCAACCGTGTTTTCGAACTTTAGTCATAAAATTCAATTGTGAGAAGTTGTATTTTAAAAATTCCTTTTCTTTCCTTGAGAACCATTTTCAAAAGATTTCTTTTTACCAATCGTTGGAAACATTATAATTTGATTTAGAACTCTACAAATATAAGTGCAAAGTATTACCATTTATCATAATAAGCATTGAAATACATGCAAACAAGCAATTTCAATCTTATTAAGCGTTTTATCCACACATTTAAAATTTGTCCCAATTAGGCGAGAATAAAACGATTCCAAGGCCCCAAAAATCAAAAAGTGATTAAGCATCCTTTGGCTTGTCTTAACACTTAATATTTTAAGGTAAGCAATCCAATTGCTAATAGCTCTAAGCTACTCCTGGTTTGATAAAACGTCGCATCTAATGATTTCTTGACGTTTTATCACCATTGCCACGACATCTAAGGATTCCTTACTAATATCGTTGAGTCTAACCAACACTAACGTGTATGCGATGCCTTGCTTTGGCAAGCGCACCAACATACCTTACTTCCCTAGGAAAGTAGTAATGATGTACTTTGGCACAACCCATTACTATTCTCATTAGTTCCTTAAGTGTCATTTTGGAATGACAAATTTAACTCAATATTCTTTTGGACTTAGGGTTTCTATATTGGTTGATTTAAGTGAACTAAACTAATCATTCAACATTCGAAATCCTAAACGTGCATCTAACATCGCAATTATATAAGCAAAATATATAAAGCATAATTAAAGATGCATTTGGCAACTAGCATGACCCCTTGAACTTGAGTCTTCAAATCTTCAAGGGCCTTCGTTGCATCCTCTTGGCTCGTCTTCTTTGAAACGTCGTCTTCGAGACATCACCACCAATTATTCAACTACTAGAAAAGCTAGGACTAATCTAAATATTAAGGTACAAAAATACGCAACGGTACGCATACCGTATTTAGATTTACAAAAATACAAAATGGATTGCAGTCCTTATTTACTATCCTAGTCGGGCCCCACTAGTTGCAATTTTGTAAAACCTGTAATAGAATATTCATTCTATTCATCCGTTCACTAACGTGAATAATGGCCCATGCATTTACAAATACTTCAAGTAATAATGCAAAACACGCGCAAATTAGTAACTAACTTAGGTGGTTAATCCAATTTACTCGCCTAATTAAAACTAGTCAAAGTTGTAAACAGATTATGTGATTAAACGCAATAAAATTAGCTCAAATAATTAATGAAGCTCCTACTAAATTCCGCAACCAAATTAATTAAAATTATTCCAATTAATTTAATTCAGCCGGTTTATCCAAATTTTGCCAAAACCATTTTGCAAGTGTCGGGAAAAATCGAGGCCTAGCCTCGTTTTAATAATTAAAAAAGGCAAAAATCGCATAGCCCTACGATGCTCGAGTGCCTAGCACCAAGCAACGAGGCTTGGTTTGCTAGGCCCGAGCCTTGGCTGCCTTGTGTGGCTGCTGCCCCTACACAACCATTTGTTGTGCCAAGCACATGCATGCGGCAGTGCGTTATGCTGGCCGCACCAGCATGCTCTTGCAACGCCAGCAAGTGAGGGCCTCAAAGGCCTGTTGCTGTGCGAGCTCGTGCTGGCCGTTGTCGCGCATTGCTGCCCACGCATCGCACCAATACCGCACCAAGCGCACCAATGCTCGCACACACAAGCACTCAAGCACACATCGATGCACCATTCCTGCACTCCTCGACAGCCACAAGGGGGCTGCGCAAGCAGCCCAACAGGCCGAGAGATGTGCTTGGGGCTTCGTGCCTCGATTTACGTGTTTGTGCCTCGGGATTTTATCCCGATTTTATTTTATGTGACATAAAATTAATTCTAAATTATTTATAGAACCAATATTGAGCAAAAATGAAAATAAAACAAGTCCAACTTATATAAATTCAATTTTTAGTGCACAAACCAAAATTAATTCAAGAACCGTTCTTTAAATTATTTTGGCTCAACTTGATGCTACAAAAAATTGAGGGCTATTCTCACAAGTAATTTAACCAAACATAAATTAACAATGAGATTTGACAAAATAAAAGGAGTTGGAAAAATAAACACAATCATCCAATGATAAATTTTCCAACACTAACTTCTGTAAATTTAAAAAAATTACATCCTTCCCATATGAAGAGTAATCAAATTCTAATCATAAGTTTGAACTTTTAAGACTTTAATCAACTCAAAAATGATTAAAATAAAAAATTAGTTTAATATGAAATTTAGAAAGTTATGTTCCAACCAAATAAACAATTAAAGAATGGACCTTTTACATTTTAGGGGCTTTAAAAATACAAATTCATTATAAACATTCACACTTGAAGCAATTAATTTGCAAAAATGTGAAATTGCAAGTTTATGTGAAAATTGAACTCACCAAATTAAGCACCAATTATGACTTCATAAATATGCTTAATAAGGGTTATTATTGCAGTAGATTAATGGTGTAACCATACACAAAATCTAACATCAACATGCCATAATTAATCTAGGTTTAAAGATTTAAAATTTTTCGTCAAACATGAAAAACCCCTCGGAAAACATGTTTATGGGTGGATTTTGGCTTCTGGAGCATCCACAAATTGAGTCAAAACCGATTTAGAACATCGATTCCACCCAAAATTCACTAGTTTTGGGTCGAAATCTGGGTTCTTTAGCCAAAATTAGTATAAATACGAAATTAAAACTAATTAAAACGAGCTTCTAATTAATCTAATTAGAAAGCAAAACCAGAAATTTAAATCCATTTAAATCACCTTAATTAATTATTAGTTACAATATTTAAATGCATGCAGCTCTAATACCGCCGTTGGGTTTCGTGATGTCCAACACCGCGCGATCCGCACACAAATTATAGTTTCTAAGCCTGTATTAAGACCTTAATCACATAATTAACAAGAGGAAAGAGAAAAATCATTACCCTTGAAGTGTGCTTCGCTCTCACTTAGAGCTCGGACTTGAAAGAATAGAGTCCCGCAAATGCGCGAACCTCCAACGACTAACACCCTCGCTACCGAACCGAGTCGGTCCCTACCCTGAACCTTAGTCGGGGCTAGGCTAAAAATTACTTAGAGTATTAGAACAAAGGTTTTCTCTCTCTGGAGATCCCTTCAAGTTCACCAACTCAAGTTCTCTTTCCTAATACCAAATGATTGGTAGTAATAGGGAAATGAGCCCTTGAAATCCCATCTCCCATCAATGTGGGAGAGTTGGAAAAAATGCAAAATGGAATTTAATTTAATTCTAAATTAAATTAAATATCCAAATGAATCACCAAACGACAAGTGGCATGAGGAGAGCAAGTGGTTAGGTGAGGACCACATGAGAGGACCACACCTCCCTAGCTCCCCAAGCCACCACCAAGAAACTAGTCCACACACACAAGACAATCACCTCACGCTAGCTGGCGCTGGAACTTGCGCACCAAGGCACACCCATCTGGTGGCCTGGTGCTAGGCTGGCCTGCCAGCATGGCTCTGAGTGTGTGCAACCCATCTAGCATGCTACGCATGCATGCGAGCTGCTGCTGGGCATGTTGGTGCTGCTACCGCAAGCTCTTGCGAGCTGATGCTGCTGTGCTGCTATCGCTAGTCATGCCTAGCTAGCTGCAGCTATCTCGCGCAAGGCCCAACTAGCATTTGCGTGTTGCTGGCCTTGTTAGCAATGGTGCGTGGCTGGTGCTAGCATGCTAGCATGCGCGCCAACAATGCTGCCCTTGTTGCGCCAGCTAGCTAGAGATGCTAGCATGCTAGCTAGCTCGACATTCCGCAACCTTGCTAGCCATATTCCTCTAGCCCTCGGTTGGCTCAGCCATTCCGAGGTTAGGGTTATATGTTATGACTTGTCGTTTGGCCGATTTTTTTCGGTCTCATCGTTTACTAAATTCGACTC